GTTTGTGTGTAACGATAACGATTGTATTACGTATTTTACATTAAATAAACAATATAAATTATTACCAAAAATTTGAAAAGCCCAGGAGGCTTGAACGTCAACTGGACAGTTTTCCGAAAAGGCAGAGCACAGGTCCAAAACATCTTCCAAACTTAGTAAATTATCCTTTTTCGATGAAAAGACACGATATATAGAATCGCGAAACGGGGAACACTAAAATAAAAGTTTAATAATATTCATTAAACTTACTTTCAAGTAAAATTGTATAAACGATTTATGACCTTGCAATCTCTAAATTTAAGAATTTTGTACAATTCGTATTTGCATTAAAGAAATCTGAAAAATGCAGCAATATTCAGTCTATCATTGGTTATCACTCTGAATCTTTTCATCATTTTTGACCTAACTGAATTGAAGAAATTAAATACCATAAAAATGGCAAGTTTAAACAATTCTTTGAAAAATTTACTTGAATTTGTGGTAAGATAATATCAATTTCTTCCAAAGTAAATCGATGCTGAATATTTTTCACCAATGTCCCAGGATTTATATCATGAAGTAGTTTCACAATGCTAAAAAAACAATAATAATTAGTCACATTCCTCACAAATTAATAATAGAAATCGTTCAATCAATGAATTAATTACCGACGTATTTCGCTTTTTCTTAAATACGTCAAATCAACATAATTTTCCAACGTCTCCTTGTCTAAAATTTTGTTGAACAATTTATTACACCACATGATAGAATAAATTAATAACAACAACGTCCAATAAAAATGCTTTAATAGAAAGAATTTTAACGAAATAGAAAATTCACCTAAGTTGTACCAACTTTAGCACTGAACAATGTTTATTGTCAGTCAATTTAACGAGTCTCTTATCAGTTTCTTATCAATGCAACGCCGTAGCTATCATTATCAATTATCATTTATCAGTCAATTGCGAATGAGTAGAATTGCACACTGCGTTGATGCTTTTGAAAATTATTCAGAAAATATTGGATTTACGAAAAAATTGTAAATGACTTTTTTGTAGGTGATAGAAGTACCTACAACTTATATTTAAAACCTTTTTGCTAGCATCAATAATTAACGAGTTATTTACAATTAAATCGTATATCTATTAGTTAGAAGCTAGTGTTTCATACTTTTGATGATTATCCAAAAAATATTCGAGCTGCAAGAAAATTGCGTATGACCTGATTTGTAGACGATAGAAGTACCTACCAACTTCTGTTTAAGATCTTTTCCACTACGTTCCATAATTAATGAGTTATTAACAATAAACTGCTACTCTCTCTAGAAATCCTCTAATATTGAATCGGTTTGATATTCGTGACGATTACTCAAAAAATCTTACAATAATTTGAATTATCGAAAAACATAATTGATCTTTTTCGTAGATATCAGTAGTACCTTCAATTCACGTTAACAACATTTCTTCGTAGAACCAATAATTAACGAATTAACTAAACAAAGAAAATTAAGTATTCAATTTTTAACACTTATTATTGAAGAATCACTTTTAGGGATTAAAAGTCCTACCGGGAGTCTGGAGTGAGAAATGGGTTTAAAAAACAAATTCACTCGATTTAATTTAAAAATGAACTCAATTCATTAAAAGAAAGAATTTGAGTGTTCAGGAGCGACGAAGCAACTTGCGATTCCTGCTGTGCGGACCTGCCAAGAAACTCAATCACTGGTCTCCGAAAGATGAAAAAATGAGAATTGTTAGTGATGCATGTTGACATACATTCAGACAACTATTTATGAGATAATTCCATTCGCAGGAGTTAATAGACTGTATAAATGAAGCGGGATTCTTAGTACCTCCAGTGCTCGACACAAGAATAGATTTTTGTAATTCTCGTGAGCGAGCAGAATGGAATAACTTTCACTTGTCGAACGAGTAATCGTCACACCCGATGCCTGGCCCTTTCTTACAAAATCACAGACTGCAGTTATAGACTGCTCAAACTCTGAATTCCAATCGGAAGTTACCACCGCTGGGTTTCGATCGTGAAAATGCTCGAAAACCCGTTGAAGAACCCAAGCGAGTTTGCGTCGAATACGTTATTCCAAACCACAATTCTCTACCGACTTATACAAGCTTTCCAAATCCCGAAAACCTCGGATAGGGAACTGTATCGCGTAGACTACCGGTCTACCGATCAACTTCGACAACCAGGAGTCCAAGGAAAGGAGCAAGAAAAACCGTACGCTCTTTTCTAGAATATCCTTAAACCTTAACCTCGTGTGTGCCCTCCGAATCGTTGCGTGTCTTGCTGGGGACTCGCCCCGCAGAGCGGGACTCTTAACCTTAACCAACCTTAACATCCTGTCTCCAAGCCACCAGGTGGCGTAACAGGGACAGCATAATTTTTCCCGCACGACTCGCTTCCCCTCTTTTTCGCCCGTATTTCGATCCCCACTACTATTCTCCTCATGCGCCTTCGCTGACCATGCCTAGCATACCCCCACCAAGTATTGGTCCCCACCATGGTCGCGTCGTCCCCACTTTCCGGCCGAGGGAAAAATTATGCTGTCCCTGTGGCGCATACACTTGTGGAGCGTAGCTCCTAGGCAGGGATGCCAGAATGTAGGATTTCTTCTCTTCCCGAGCTCTCCCTACTACTGCATGCTGCTGTGTGCTCAATGTGCTCTTCCCACTTACATATGGCATTATTAGACATGTTCCCAATGATCATGGGTAACGTAAGTGGGGGCAAAAAAAAATAGTGGGAGACAGCTCGGGAAGAGGAGAAATCCTACATTCTGGTATCCCTGATCCTGGGTTAGAAGCACTCGCACAACAAAAACGCGTTACGGCCTTGGTTGTAAGGCAATTCCGATTTAATTGGGTCTCAAACAGCACTTTTTACCACCAAAGGCAAAGAGATTCGACCGCCACATGTCCGCAATCTCGGTAAAAGTGTCTAATTCATGCATTTATTTCATGCAACGTAAACCGTTCAGGTGCGAAAGCCACACTGATCACAGCAATCGTACGTCCAGCTGACTGAAAAACTCAGACTCGCTGTTCTCGAAAAGTAATTACGACAGAGAATTCCTCTGTCATAAATCAAAGCATTCATCCATGCAATGTTTGATCGCTGTTATGATATGGCCCACCTTAGGCAGTCACAATCGAACTGAAAATTTTCAACGACGTAACGAAATCGTGGAACCACGATTTTCTACGACTCCACAATTACGGATATATCCGTCTTTCTTCTATTATACAGGGTGTCCCAGAACTAGTGTTAGACCAGGAAATGGGGAGGCACTGAGGTGATTTTAAACAATATTTTCCTTTGTCAAAATGTTGTCCGAGGCGTGGTTGTTGAGTTATTTACGAAAAACCCAATAAGGGCGCTCGTATAGCGGGCGGCCAGGAGCGTGACAACTGCCTCGTGCGTTGTCGTGCCCTTCTAACGCGCTCGTCATGAGAAGATAATATATGAAAGAAAAGTTGCATGCGAATATGACTAACAAATTCTTTGAATGTTAGAGAAAAGAAAGCAATTAGTCGTTAGTTACGTTCACTGAATAAATGTAACATACGAATAAAATATCGGCCCTCCCCCCCAAAAAGATTTGGAGGAATCTCTTATTATGTTACAAGTAAAGAGGAAAAGTAATTACAAAATTTTGGACAGGTCCATTTTCGAATTTACCCCATTAACAATCAAATTGTCCCCATGTGGGGCATGGGCACCATATTGGGAAACACTATCTTAAAGTGTACATATGCAAAACTTGGCGCAGATCGATGAAGAGGTTTTAGGTTTTATAAAGTGATACTTTATTTTATTNGTCGGAGAGATCCGCATAAGTTTTATGCGCCTCCGCAAGAATTGAATGAAACAGGAGACTATTTCCAGGTGAAATTAACAGTCAGTTAATTCCCCGAAAATAGAAATAATTATGTGTGTTCGCGAGAATTTCCAATAAAAGTTACAGTTAAGCCGAATTGTTATAACTCGTGGTCTATTTCTTATAGCCGCGAGCCGTGACTCATATGGCCCTGGGTTATGAGTGCAAGGAAGATGCCTAGTTGTTAGAGAGAGAACTGCGTATCGGCACTTCGGACCGCGGACGGTTTCGATGATTATTGTTTCGTAAGGTATCGTATGCGTACCATCGCCTGCGAAGGCTCTCGCTAGACGAATTTAATTCGCTTATGACGTCGAGGAATTCCGTCTACTATTCGGATTTAAATCAGCTGTTCGCTGCGTATTGAGAAAATCTTAATTTCTAGTGCAATATATCGGTAACGATACATTGAAGATCTCTCTTTTACACTCGATCTCAGTATTCGAGCGTGTAACGGATGCAATAGACTATGATCCGAAACCCGATAACTATCTGGCGACAGCAAGACGACACCCGTCGGGCACCCAAGTCCCGACCTTGGACGCAGGTAGGAAAAACCAACTTTCGGTTTTTCCTGGAAAAGCGGGCCACCAACAATTTATCCCTCCTTCGTTAACTTTTACCCTATTGGGCGCCTCTGGCACCCAAAAACTGTATAAAAGCCGTACCCTGGAAAGAAATAAATGTTAGAGCAGTTAGAACCTTCATGAAGACTACTTCTTTATCCACCATACCGACTAAGTCTCTACGGAACTCTCTCGCAACGATTAAAACAAGGAACAAACTCGTTTTCGGCGTAACAAGCGAGATTTGAAGGCGTTTCCTTCAGTCTTCGCTTGAAGCGAGTTTCGCAGGTCGAGCAGTGCATTTCGGTCGGGACCGTTTAAAGTCGGAAGCCCTTTGCCAGTGCGGTGATCGAAGCTGCAACTTGTCACGGCGTCGTGATTATCATACTCGCTCTGTAACGATCCGTTGTAACCGGTGTTCGCCGGTGCATCCTCCTGTGTCACGACATACCAGTATCGGCCCGGGACCCCGGTCGCAGTTGTAGGTCCACCGAGATTTTTCAAAGGAAAATAGCCTAGCACCATTAGTGGCACGACGTGTTCGTAACTGAGCTCTCTGTGGATTGTATTTCGCATACTTACAACACTCCGATTTTTCCAAGGCAGCACTTCAAAGATACTGTCGTCGGCACGAGAGAAAGAGTTGTACTCTGATCGTACCGGAGAACTCTACAGCCCACACCAATTTTAACGATCTTCGTTTTCCTTCTAATTACAGAGACTCATAAAGACGAGATTTGGTGAAAGTGCACCTGGGACAGGGTTTTAACTCTCTGGTCCGTCTCTATTATTTTTTTTTTATAAAAATCTCTGTTCAATTAAATAAACGGTGTTGGGGTTTTCAAAGGGAAACGCTTGCGTGTGAGTTATTTAGAAATTTCCGATTCTCATCTTCCCGGCATTCCGTTAGGGCACTATCCCTAGCACTTATCTTTGTTTGGATTATTGATTAGAAAACTTTTTAATTCAAATATTTTGAGTGCCTCTTAATTTTTATTCCGTTATTAGCAAAACTCTGAAAACTTATTTGTACAAAATATTATTAAAGTATGTTGTTCTACTTTGCGTCATTTACTGAAATAAATAGTTAAAGAGTACAATTAAAGGCTATAAATTTGACATTTTGTTTTTAGATTTGTTTGACTATTTTAAGGAGCGTTTCTTGAACCTTTTCGATCATTTTTAAAATCTTTAGGTTAAGATATTTTTAGACCTCCGGATTCCTCCGGAGCCCCTTGGCTACCCGGGGCCCCATGCGACCGCTTAGTCCGTTTACCGCTTAATCCGGCCCTAGTAGTT